AACATCCTTTGCGATGATGAATGCCATGCCATTCCTCTTCAGACTGTCATTCCTGGCATAGTAGATCATATGGTTGTCTGATTCAAAATGGCCCAAACCAGTCAAACCAGCTGAAATGGTTCAGCTCAATAATCCCTAGGATATCAATCTTTATGCGTTCCATTTCATTTTTGAAAACTTCCAATTTTCCTAGATCTATACTTCCATACTTCCAACTTCCATACTTCCAAACCAGCTGAAATGGTTCAGCTCAATAATTCCTAGGATATCAATCTTCATGCGTTCCATTTCATTTTTGAAAACTTCCAATTTTCCTAGATCCATACTTCATACGTTCCATGTTCTGATTATTAATGGATGTTTGCAGCCATTTCTCCTCAATTTGAGTCGTGCCACATCAAGAAATGGAGGTCCTGAAAGCTTTACTTTATCTATATCATTAAGGTTGGGTCTGCTCTGATGAGGCAGCTCTTTCCCAGTTGTATTTTGAGTGCTTTTTGACCTAAGGGCCTTGTCTTCCTGCAGTGTATCGGACAATGTTTCCAGGCTATTCATAAAGTTGCCCAGTAATGTATCAGACAATGTTTCTCTGCTATTCATAAGGTTTTCACTGGCCAATTATTTGAGAAGTGGAAGGCCTTCTCCTTCTTCCTAGTCTGTCTCAGTCTGTAAGCGGCGCTGAAATCTGTGCACCAAGAACAACCCTGCTGGCGTCTGAAACTCCGGTGGTACAGCCTCAAGCCTCACGACAACATGCAAGCCACTGACAGACAAGTTCATCTCCCTTAGCTGCTGGAAACCTCTCTGCCCTCTTCTTACCTGATTCCTACCTGGATCCTGCTGCTTTTGCTGGCCCCAGCCACTCCCTGCCTTCCTGCCTCTGGGGGTGGGTCCTGTCACCTCATATACATGCAAAAGATAGACAATGAATAAATGAATAAAGACAATTAATAAGGAAAACTAAAGAAGAATTGATGCATTTGAATTATGGTTTTGATGAAGAATACTGAATCTTGCTTGCTGAATATACCATGGACAGCCAGAAGTACAAACAAATCTGTCTTGGGAGAAGTACAGCCGGAGTGCTCTGTAGAAGAGAGGAATGGCAAGACTCTGTACTCTGGAAATGTTATCAAGAGGGACCAATTCCTGGGAAAGGACATGATATTTGGTAAAGAAGAGGGTGAGCAACAAGGAAGAAGGTCCTCAACAAGAGGGACTGACACAGTGGCTGGGGCAATGGGTTCAAGCACAGCAACGATTGTGAGGATGGCACATGTTGTGCATGGGGTCACCATGAGTCAAAACCAACTTGACGGCACCTAACAAGAAGCTAGTTTCCAAAGACACAAGTGAAAAACTGCTGTCACACGACTGATAAAAACAAATTTGCTACCTTTAACAGAAAATAATAGCAATCCAATCTGGGATGTCTTCATCCATCATGTATTGTTTCATATCTTACTACCAACAAATATTCAGTGTCAAGAATATGTCAAGTCCTTACTAACAGCTCAGCAACTGTGAAGAAAATGGATGTAAGCTTAGAGCCTAGCTTTTTAAAAAATAAGTAACTAAAATAATCATGCTGTTGTAAACATGATACAAACACACTGGAGATGGAGAGAGATAACAACACACAGGAACTGCCAAGAAATTTTAGATCAATTTTAGTAATTCTTTTTAATTTTTATTTTTTAATCCCTAATTTCCTCTCCAACTCAGTGTCTCACCATCCAAGCTGCACAGAACCATCCAGGGAGCTTTTTAAAAATCCAAATGTCTCTGCCTTACCTTCAAGAGATTTTGATGTAATTGGCTTAAAGGTGGGCATTTTTACAAAACTCCCAAAGTGATTCTAATGCATAGCCAGGCTGAAAACTACTTGGAGTCACCACAAATATTTTTGTAAACAGAATATAAACCCTAAAGGAATTTAAAATTACATATAGACTTTGATTTATAAGTTTGTAACTAATTTGTATAAATGTTATCATGACATAGAAACTACATGATGAAATTCTTAGGGATTTCTAACAATTTAACAGAAGTCAGCAGAAGCAAGTACCAGGTCTCAAAAATCAATCAACACACACATACACACACACAAAAAAAAACCCTAAAATTCATAAAACAGATCAGACTTACTGGTCTGAAAGAGACTGGAGGAACCCATGAGACTACTGTCATAAGCAACCCTTCTGATGTGGAACTGAAACCACTGACAGAGCCACCTCTCAAACAAATTACAGACTGGCCTATAAAATAAACACTAACACCATGAGGAAAGCTCTTAGACCAAAAGGGCAACCCACCCACTGCCACAGAGTTGATTCCAACTCATACTCACCCCCACACAGTTTCCAAGGCTATAAATCTTTACAGAAGTAGATTGCTTCATCTTTTTTCCATGGAGTGGCTGATGGGTTTGAACCACTGACCTCTGGTAAGCAGCCAAATGCCTCACCCACTATGCTACCAAAGCTCCTAAAGGCAACATTTCCCCTCAAACAAAGATGAGAAAGCAGGAAAGGGCAGGGAAATCGGGCAAATGGAAACAGGGAAGACAGGCTGGAAACAGGCAGAGCAGTGACACTGCAGAGATTACAACTAATGCCATGGAACAATCTGTCTGTGAATTACTGAATGGAAAACTATTATGCCATGTAAACTTTCACCTAAAGCACAATAAAATGTTCCCCCAAAATTCAATCAGCACTATAGATAATGAAGTTTTTTATAAAAAGTATAAGAACTTCCATTCTATCCTATTTATGAGCACACCAACAGTTCAAACCCACCAGCCATTCTGCAGAAGGAAGAATGGGCAATCTACTTCCATAAAGATTTACCAACTTGGAAACCCAAAGGGGGTAGCTATGAGTTGGAATCAACTCGACAGTAGAGTGTTTGGTTTTGGTTTTATAGCTTATTCATGATTAAAACAACTTTTTAATCTGTTTCAGAGCAATTTCTAATTGAGTATGGTGTTTATGATTCTCTCTTGCTTTTCCTAAGCTATTAGCTACTAAACAAAACAAAAGTAATATTTAATTAACAATTTTAGGTTATTCATACTCAGGGCTATTTTCCCTGATGTATGAAACTAATGTGCTAGGAGAAGGTAAACCAGAGGTTATTTCCCCACAGAGAAAGGGAAACGGTGCTGCCAATCTTTCACTCAATTATTTTAAAGAAACAAATTAAATTATTGTTATCTTTATCATTATTATTGCTTCTTGAAAACCGTCCTGATATTTTAATATTATTCCACAGTATACACGTTATCCTCCAACAAACAAACAAAAATCCATTATAAATAAACTAAATGCAGAATAGCTCTTTCCCATTTCCTTATTTTAAAACTGTAAAATAGTTTTAATATTACTTAATATTATCACTTACAGAAATTTTTGAAGGTGGCATTATATCCAAAGAATAATCCATTTCCTGTGTGCTAAGAGTTCTGAGTGACAGTGAACATTCACCAATGGTTTTCTTCCTGGGACTCTGAGTTTGAATCTTAAACACAAGCCTTACAGTTTGCAGACTTTGGAGTTTAATAGCAAATACAAAAGTTTCCATAAAGTCAATAACCTTAAAAAAAAAATTAAAAAACAAGAAAATATTTAATTTATAAATTAAAAGTGTTTAAAAACTGCTATGCCGACACAAAATTTTAAAAACATTTTATAATATAGGAAGAGTATATTTTATCATTTCACAATTTTTTAAAAGTATTTTTAATGTAAATAGAAATGAAAATGGCTATGAGTTGCTCTTCTAGAATTTAATCTGGATATTGCCTTTCTTAATTTCACAAATCATCCTTTTAATCAGTCACAAATTCATGTTAAGATTAATACCAAGGTCATCAGAATACGGCTTTTAAAATCTACCCCCTCATCTTGAAAACTAGAGGTGGTTTTCCCTCTTTGGTTTTGGGCATCTTTCCTATTCACTACAATTTTCCAACAGTTAGTAAGAGTGGTTCAAGGCCCTCTATGCAAGCTCCCTCACTATCCAAAAGCTAACTTGTTCACATTAGGAGAATTATTTCTGTGAAAGAGTTACTCTTTGTCTATGTTTCCTCCATCTATCTTAGGCTTCAACTTCTCTTTTTGCTGTTGTTTGTCACCCTTCCCAATGTGAAAACCAATCCAAAAGGAAAGCGGGAGGGAGGAAAGGAAAAAAATATATAAGTAACTTAAATTTGTAATTCTATGATTACTAGTAAATTTCTTTCATGTTTATTAGTCATTTTAATCAAGAGCTCTGGTGGCATAGTGTCTAAGGCATTTGACTGCTAAATAGGAGGCTGGTGGTTCAAACCCACTAGCCACTCCTCAGAAGGAAGACTGGGCAATCTACTTCCGTAGAGATACTGCTTTGGAAACTCAAGAGGGTTCGCTATGAGTCAGATTTGACTCGATGGCAGTAAGTTTGGTTTTTTGGTTTAATCATTTTAATCACCTTATTTTTCAATGATATATTCCTGTAGACGATACATTTTGATATACGTGGAAAAACACTAACCTTTCAAACTACATCAAAAGATAAAAATGAAAATATATTTAATATATATGCTTTAAGTTAATGCAGACTCTAGAATTTATAAAACCAAACTCAGAATCATAAGTCTTCCAGTTACACCAATTCGAAGTATTTAAAATAAACTAATTGTAATTATGCAAATATTTCTTAAAGCAAAAGTAGGAAGGTAAGAGGAATAAAAATATGGATATTTATTTTCCTTTCTTACAAGAGAAATAAAAAGGTTTCTTAGAGACTGTTACCTTCTATATAGTTCAGTGATTAAGATTCTCTCTTAAATGCACTTAATATTTGACACTGAAAATTATCTTTAAAAGCACAAGGTATATAATTTGTAGTTTCCCCTAAATAAAACATTCTCTTATTACAATTAGTTTACATGTATAAAAGTGACAAATATGAGAAAAACAGAAAAAGAAATTCAAACAAAAACATCAGCCACTTACATTAGAGCCATTTTTAGCTGAAGATTTGAAATGCACTGGTTTGGGCAAAGTTAATATTCCTTTTATAGAAATAGTAGGAGTATCTCCGTAACTGGAGGGCCAACTTAAATCTTTGCACTAAAAAAATTAAAAATACAGCTTGAAATTTAGAAAAAATTGACAATACAAATATTTTACATATATCTTGAGTTAATGACTGACTATATCAACAACAACATATAAAAATAAGAAAAGTAAACCTGAGTCTACTGAGACCTCTAGTTTCATCCACATTAAAATAATCTAAAATGTAGTATTACAGGCATTATCAATTTCCTTTTTGTAGTAAAAGCACATACACATTCATCATACATACAGGCTTATTTTCTTTTGATGCTTTATTAAGTATTATTTTCTACAAAATATTATGTTGTTGTTGTTATGTGCCATCGAGTCAGACCCGACTCATAGCAACCCCTCCTTGGGTTTCCAAGGCAGTATCACCACGGAAGTAGATTGCCCAACCCTCCTTCCGAGGAGTGGCTGGTGGGTTTGAACCTCCAGCCTTCTGGTTAGCAGTTAAATGCCATAGGCACTATGCTACCAGAGCTCCCGCAAAATATTACAGAATTGTAAATTCCAAAGGTATGATCCCATTCTCTGTAAGAGAGTGACAAAAGATGCTTATAATGTTTAAATAGTTATTTTTATAAGAAAAGTAAGTATTAACTATATTGATTTACCTGTAAAATTGTAATCCAGATCTGTTCTACTGAAGAATTATAGAACAATTTCACATTCAATCTCCCGAACTCTCTCTCATCTCCTGATAGAGTAATTGTATCTGAATTGTAAAGGACAAAGATGTTTACAATGTCAACAATCCTAACCTATTAAGCTTCGATACAATCTAGTTTTAAGAACACAATAGAAAAATACTATTTTAAAACATTTATTTTATTGTTGTTATATACACAGCAAAAATACCCCAATTCAACAGTTTCTTCACGTATAATTTAGTAACACTGATTACATTCTTCAAGTTGTATAACCATTCTTACCTTCCTTTTTTGAGTTGTTCCTCCCCCATTAACATAAACTCATTGCCCTCTGAGGCTCCAATCTATCTTTTGAGTTGCTGTTGTCACTTTGATCCCATATAGCTCTTAAAAGAGTATAATGCTCAAGGCAGATGTTTTTTTACTGGTTAAGCTAAACTACTGTTTGGTTTTAAAGACTTCAAGGAACATTTTTGGTTTAAGGTTTAAAATTATGTCAGGGCAGTAATTTCAGGGGTTCATCCAGCTTCCATGGCTCCAGAAATTCTGCATTCCATGAGAATCTGAAATTCTGTTCCTTATTTTCCCCTTTTTGATCAGGATTCTTCTACAGAGTCTTTGATTAAAAAGTTCAGTTATGGTAGTCCCACCCTCCAGTTCTTGTGTCATGACAAGGGAGGCAGTTACTTGTTCCGGGCTTGCATTGTAGTATGAGGAACTTAAGTCCCTCAGAGAAAACTTTCCAAATAATATTTATAACATCTTAATATTATATGCTTCTGGAAGTTCTTTTAATTCTATTCTATTAATACACTTTAAATAAAACCAACAAAAGATATCTAACTTCTCCACTATTTTTTAAAAGACATACTCATACCTATACACAGAGAAACGGACCTTATTATCTGAGTACCTATATGCTGCTCACATTGCTAACATATGTATTATCATCTGAGTCTTTTCCACCTTACACATACTATATTTTATTATTAGGTAGAAATAATTTCCTTAAGCAGAAAATATAGACTACTTTATTCCTTACCCAGGCTTCTGTTACTCCCCTGAGAATTCTTCCTTGATGAAGAGCTACTGGGTACACTGGACAATGAATCATGTCTCTATACATAAAAAAAAAAATTATGTAGTCAGAGACTGCATATCAAACGTTAAGGATTCTAATACTTATGTCCCAATACCTATCAAACTGCACGCTAACCATTCTGACAGTGTTACCAATCAGAATTTCCCACTTTCAGACAGTAATGGGGCAAAAAAAAAAAAAGCTTTGTGTGTGTCTGTTTTATCAGGAAAGTCTTAAATACCTTACTAGATAATATATATAAAAATCTTTGCTGTTTTTGATTTGGCTTACTAGAAAGGAAAAACAGACTACTGCTTAAGTTTCATATTTGAAAATACTAATGAAAACCAGAGCATATTTGGAAGTGCCCTTTTACCTAAAAACCTGGACAGCAGCAGTTCTCAGTGTGTACCCTTTGGATCAGCAGCATGGGGAACTTGTTAGAAATGCAGACTCTCAGGCCTCCCACAGAGCAAGTGAACCAGAAACTCCAGGGCGAAGGCCTGGCAGTCTGTATTTTGATGAGCTCACCCAATGATTCTGATGTGTGTTAAAGAACTAGGACTATAAAGAATTAAATTCTTAAAAAATTAATTCAATTAAGGGTGGTTGCTTTTTTTAGAAAAAATTTTCATTTTTATAAAATATACGTTTATATGTTATTCACATGGTGAAAAGTCCACAAGCATACACAACAGTATATTGACAGTGCTTTTTCTCTTAGCTACAGGAATACAGGTCATTTTTTTTCCCTTTTATTAACCTTATTTTCTATTTTTTAAATAATGATAAAAGATTACTCACATTAAAATGAAATATTTATAAAAATAACAAAAAATCTTGTTTTAAAAACAGGAGAACACAGGCTAGTATCAATGAGCAATTAAAGTCCTTATATCTCAATGAGAATACTAGTTTTTGATAACAAGGTAGTTGTGTTCAATAAGAAAAGTTAAAACAATACAGATTTTAACCACACAATTTTAAATTCCACTGGCTCAAGCTCCCCTCAGTCCATGCCAAATGAAAGATGCAAAGTTCATAAAAAACAAAGTAATTAATGCTTTTTGTAGTCAACTAAGAGCTTACTAAAACAATGTCTATGGAATAGCCAAGCATTTGCTCTTCAGACATTAAAATAGATTCAGCTACAAAAGATATCCAACATGTTGTTCCTAATATAAATCACACATTTCTGATTTTTCAATTGAAGATAAATTATTATGTATATATAATTTACCTGGATGAATCGCTGAGATGAACTTGTAAGATCAAACATAGATTTGCTTAGCCCAGAGGAAGTAGGAAGTTTATTGGTCCTTAAATCACAAACTACAAAATAACATGAGAAAATTGTAATTTTTATAGTAAAGAGAAAGAATGCTGGAATTCTAGCCAAACAATAGACAGATATATAAGGTGAACATTTACACTACATAGCTACACTCCTTAGAATAATCTACCATGGCAGATTAGAAGAGCAGTATTTGCACAGGGAGATAGCTCAGAGGGCAGGAATGCATAGGAAAGAAGGACACAGGGAAAAGGTAACCACAGGGAGGAAGTGTGAAGAAAGCTGTTACATAATGGGGATTGCAATCAATATCACGAAACAAAATGTGTATGAACTCTTGTATGGGAAATGAATTTGCTCTGTGATTTTCACCCAAATCATAGTAAAAGAAAAAAGAATCCTGGAATTCTACTTAATTACTATGAATTACTACATTTGCTATAGGTATACACTATGAACATTATGTACATATCTATTTAACAGGTTGCAGTGTAGTAAATTACTTAGTGTGGTTTTTCTAGCTGTACATCTTTGTGAACTCTGTGATGGAATTTGCCATGAGCCACTGAGTAGCTCCTGATTGTTAAAGTTGTCCACCTGGGATAATTCTGTTGGGAAGGCAGGAAGCAATCTTCTGGGAAAATTCGCTCTCTCTCAGGTGTATAGAATTCTGATGCTGCGGTTGGGTAGTTTGGCCATGCTGCCAGGCTCAAAAGGAGCCCTCTTAGAGGAGGAAAGGGTATCTGTGACTGCTGGCTGAAGAAAAACACGCTCCTGAGGGGCATGAGACACACACTGCTGAGAGAGAGACATGAGAAACACGTGCTGCTGAGATAGTGATGTGCTACTGAGACTACCAGCTGCTGAGTGAGACGGCCAAGTGAGAGACAGAGTGCATTTCTGAACTTGAACTGTAGCCTGTTGCTTCCCTAATAAACCCCATCATCTGTGAGTTCTGTGTGGCCACTGCAGTGAATTACTGAACCCAGCAGAGAGGGGGTGGGTGCTGTGGGAGGAACGGTTGGTGCCAGGGTTGGTCAAAGGGCTAGAGGGAGGTAGCATGTCTGGCCTCACAAATAAAGGCCTTGGGCTGCTGATAGTGATTCTGTCTTCCTCTTGTGGGGTTAGAAGAGGTCAGAATATGCGGCCTCCCTGTCTCTTTCGCACATGTACAGCCTGATGATGGATTTTTTCTTCCCATTATTTTACTTGTATTTGTGACAGAAACCAACACAAATCAAACAACACATAGTCACATCCACATCAAACATGAAAGAGCAAGATGTACTCTTTTTTGCTTCCCTTCCCCAATTCTTCATGTCAGAATAATCTGAAACAATGTAATCCTCTGTGCTAAATGCTATTCATCTACTATTTAAAGAGTACTTATTACATAAATAAATTGACACTGAACACTTTCTAGTTTCCCTCCTAACCTGTAAGCTTTTGGAAGAATGGGACTCTGCATACTAATTGTTACCCTAGTACAGTACTGAGCACAAGGCAGGCCTGTATATAAATATATAAATATTTCTTTCTCATTTTAAGGATTAACTCAAACTCAGTGTTTATGATCACCACATATATATATATATATATATATAATATATGTTGTTGTTGTTATGTACCATCGAGTCGGACCCGACTCATAACAACCCCTTCTTGGGTTTCCGAGACAGTATCACTACGGAAGTAGACTGCCCAACCTTTCTTCCGAGGAGTGGCTGGTGGGTTTGAACCGCCAGCCTTCTGGTTAGCAGTTAAGTGCCTTAGCCACTATGCTACCAGAGCTCCCTTACACACACACACACACACACATACATATATACATATATATACATAACTGAAAAATGGAAAATTTTATAAATCAGATATGTACAAGATATTGATATAGTCTCAAATATGAAACTAAAAAAGCTATATACTTATTTAGGCTTTTTCATTTTCTTTGCTTACATTTCTAATCATATCCTGGGTTTTACTAAAGTCACTGTTTTCATAGACTAGAGAAAAAAAGAAAAAAATCTAGTGAATCTTATAGAATTAATGATAAGTAGATGACATAAAAATGCATACAAAATAATCTGAAAACAGAATTGCTTTAAAAAAAATAAGATATAATCTGGAATAGATATTCCATTAATTGTTTTATATTAAATATAACACTACAGAGAAGTCATGATGTTTATTACATCATTTCCAAAGCCTGCTTTTCTCTTATTTTTAAAATGCTTTTAGTAGTAAGAATCATTTTTCCCAGGAACTTACATTTAATTTGATTTCCAGATTTTTTAAAGAGAAAAACAGAGGAAGAGCATAAAAAAAGGTCATACCTGATCCATACAGCTTCATTGTTTCTGAGTGAGGAGGAAAACGCCGACTCAAATCAGGTGAAATGTGCTGATACATGTAGAATGGGTTATAGACATCATAGCTGGGTCCCTGCTGGGATGAACTAGAAAGTTCTACCTTTCGATCTCCAAAAGATGCTCTGGCAGATCCTAAAAGCAAATGTTTCTAATGTTTTACAACATCTTTTTCTTGGCATCGTTAGCCAAAAGCTAGTGTTTCCAAGGCAAATAAATATTTTTTTTTGGTCTCTAGTGATACAAAATCACAAACCTTTGGCATCTAAAAAGAAAATCCAATACATTTATTGATGCCGAGTACTATGGCCTAAGATCAGCCACGAACCTGCTCTCAAAATAGTGTGGTAAATTTTAGGCATTTTTCTTTGCCCCATACACTACTCAATCCTTCAATATCTAGTTTTACTTTTATTTTCCTACTTATATAGAGGACATTTTTAAAATAAAAAGTTGCTTTTTGATTTTTGTTTTTTGAGACACACTCTTTGCAAGCAGACAGTGTGTCATGGATTGAATTGTGTCCCCAAAAATATGTGTCAGCTTGGCTGAGCCATGATTCTCAGTGGTTTGGAAGTTATGTAATGATGTAATCTGGGAGTTATGTAACAATGTAATTATTCCCGTGAAGTGATCTGATTGGGATTAGGTAGGATGTAACACCCTTACTGAGGTCACAGCCTTGATGTAATATAAGGAGAGTTTCCCTGGGTATGGCCTGTATCACCTTTTATCTTACAAGAGATAAAAGGAGAGAGAAATGAGGAAAGAAGGAGGAACCTGACTACCTGATTACCATCAAGAAAAAAGAGCCAGGAGTGCATCCTTTGGACTCAAGGTCCCACTGAGAACCTCCTAGATCCAAGGAAGATTGATGCCAAGACATAGAGATCTCCAAAGTATCCTCGGCCCACAGATGTTGAAAGGAGACAAGTACCCTCCCCCAGAGCCAAGAGAGAAAGTTGTAGCCTAGAGCTGGTGTCCTGAATTTGGACTTCTAGCCTCCTAAACTGTGAGAGAACATATCTTTAAAGCCGCCATCCACTTGTTCTTCTGTTTTAGCAGTACTACATAACTAAAACACACAGTATGTTTATAAACATTGACCACACACTGAGACCCACAGAGCAAGTCTCAAATGATTGAAATCACACAGAGGACATTTTCTGCACACAATGCAATTATGTCAGAAATCAACCAAAAACATGAATAGCATATTTATATGGAAATGCAAATAACAACAACAAAAAAAATCTTAAGAATAGCAAGATGGAAAAGTTTGCTCTACTGGGTATTAACATTTATTATACAGCCATACTTTGGTCATGTTGTCAGAGGGGACCATTCCCTGGAGAAGGATGTCATGCTTGGTAAGGTGGA